CTCCAGTCCATCAGGAAACAGGGACCAGCTATACATATTCAATCTATTTTTAAAAATAAAATCAATAAAGGAAGCTCTTCCAGACTCAGACCAGAGAAGACTCCCCTAGAGAAATATGTCACRTAGGGAGATGATGGAATTGAAACGTCCTTCCAGACATGAGAAACCTTCCCTGATCACCAAGATCTGTCAAAGGCAAATACCCTYGCAGTGACTCTGCATAGCTCCCTCAGCATTCATGAGTGTATCCCATTAGGTGTCGTGGAGTTGCACTTGTCCAGTTTGTTTAGAAGTTCCCTGAGAAGTGACATCCATCCCAAAAGGGTAAGTCTTCCTTGTGGCAGACTTTTCCACTGATCTTAGGAGCCTGGGATTCCTGAAGACTGTTGTTACCAGTGAAGACCAAAGTGAAGGAGACCTGAACATCATGTCCTTTTCTGTGTTGTTCAGCAAAGGGCAGCTGGCCTATTCAGCAGCAGCCACACATTTTCCACAGCCTTTTCTTGTTGCCTTCAKGTCTCTCACCAGAATAAACTCTAGGTGGGCTTTGGCCTTCCAAATCCCATCTCCAAACAACAAAGCAGAATCTTTGTGTTCCTTCTGCGTCACCTCTCCTTGTCTTGACCTCTTTTATGCACCCTTTTTGTCTGTGAGGTTGATCAGGATATTCTTGTTCATCCTTTCAGACCTCCTGTCACCTTTCATGATTTCTTTCATTTCAGAATAGGCTGCTCTTGAGATTGGAGGGCGTGATCCTGGAAAATCAGTAAGAAGCACAAGCGTGGTTGAAGAAAAACAGTGAGAAGCAGCATGGAACAGAAAGAAGACACAGAGCAACAGCTGCTATGAGCACMATCCAACTTCCAGGACCACCCACTGCTTCACTGCACAAAGTGGGGTGGACTGAGTGTGTCCTACAGCAAGTATAAGGGAAATTGAGACTAGGAATTAAGAAGGATGGGTGTTTGACTTAAGGTGAGCCTGAGGAAGGAGAGGAAGAGATGTTTACTTAAGTGTTTAATTGTTTATATTATCTCTTTTTTTTTCCTGATACATGGATCAGTGATCAAAAATTTCCTTTTATTGGTAATTAATTAAATTAAGTAAAAATTGCCCAGKTTTTGCCTTTGATGCTGGCAAGTGGATTAGCCAAGCCTTCATTTCAAGACATCATGGATACCTTTTAGCCTATTGAGCATAAAGTGGAGATGCATTAAAATCTTTGGAAACTACAGGTGAACTCAGATTAAGACTCGGCTGTATCTGAGTACTCTGAAAAGGGCTCTTCTCTGTTTTAGGGGAAAGCCAGCTGATCTTTCCCCTAGTATATATGAACCTAGAGGAAGCTTTGACTGYATCAATACTATAATGACCTAAAGCTGATTAACACAACCAGCTGATATGCTGATTTGAGTTTATTCCCGCATTTCTGTAGCTGCTCAGCTTCCAAACTACATCTGGTTTATATTTGTTACGGAGCCAYGGAGCAGACACACAAAAGACTGCACCCATCCCTAGCTATTTCATATTCCTTTGTATGTTTAAAAAAATACAAATTCTGAAATTGAATAAAAAAATGTCAAAAGCAAAGAAACAGTGTGAGTCTTTCTTCTAATGCCGTTTCAAAAACTTATTTAATAAGATTCATAACAAGCTTAAGAACTCAGAAAAGGCATGGTTGGTCAGAGGATTCCTCTACTACATGGCCAAGAAGAGATGCATGTGAAGACACCCAGATATATCAAAAAGAGTATTCTGTCAGATACTCACTAACAAAAGTCTAGACACCATGTCCATGTCAGCATGTTGTACTGCCAGAGAGTATTAATTCTCTGTTTAAKATCCTTAACATGTGAAAGTCAGTGGGAACTGGAGTGGCAACTCCTTCTAGGGGTGGGTCAACCTTTTTTTCCCCTACTGGATCAAAGTCATATAGCAACCCAGAAACACCCCTGTTCCTTTTGGCTGATTCTATTGCAGTTTTTGGCTTTTTTTCTCCCCAGGTGTGAGGGAGGAGGAGAACTTGCTGAGTTGGTTTTGAAAATTTAAAATGTGAAGAAAGGGAAATTAGACCCTGGCTGTGGTTTTAAATTGAAATGGAGATCAATGTCTAGCACTTTCAAGCATAATGGGTGTGTATACATTTTGGGAGCAGTTCTTTAAGTCTGCTTGTGTAATTCTACCATACCTTGTCCAGATTCCTATCTGCAGCTATGTTTATTTTAGAAAATGTCTCTTCCAGTATTAAAAAAAAATAAAAACAAAAATTTTGTCATTCTAGCACAGTTCACAGTAAAATCTGGATTAGAATCCTGCTTCTTAAAAACAAAGGTCTGCTAGCTGCTACACTGACTAAGCTACTCATCTCTTATTGCTCTCTGAACTCTTAAGTGGACCCACCGTTTTACCTGACATCACAAGGCAGTGTGTGAAAGGAAAGGCACTGCAGAAGGCTGGGTGGCTTCTAGAGTGACTAGGTGACTTCTGATTACAAATGCAGGTGGGAGTGAAATCGCAGTGGGTGCTTCCAATCTTCATGCTGAGGCTGCTGCCCAGTCCCATTCTCCTAAGAGAACCAGAAGATCGACTAAATACAGCTTCAGCAATATGGTGAACAACATTTCCTGTTGACATCTGTTTTGTTTGCATGTGGGGCTGCTCTCTGTGATTGAGGCATCCTTTTTCACTTAGTAACCCTTTCCTCTGCACTTACACTGAATGAAAAAAACCAGAACAGTTTTTTACAGTTGCTGTTGAGATCCAGAAACTGTTCTATGGCCTTASTAGAAGAAAACAGGTCTCCAATTTTTTTTTTAAATGTCTAAAGGGATGGATTACTATAGCCATTGACTCAGGAAGCCCTGAAAATAATGGAGCAACACAGAAAATCGTTTCCTAACGGTCTGTTCTACAGAACTCTGAGCAATGGTGAGCATTTCTTTGTCCTGGATGCTCCATTCATAACAATTATATTGTTGTAGTATGTTTCCTTCTGGGAAGCTTTAACTTGTGGGTAGATGTCTGCCAAACTCGCCTGAAGACAGGGTCTGGCCTGTGTCTTCTCAAAGTTTATAATCTCAGAGGATGCAAGYCTTACAAATACATTGGTCTTTACCCTGCCAAAACAAGCTGAGAAATATCACTCTAAAAATAGCACTGTCTTTTGGGTCTAAACATGCTTTAGGTAAGACATTCCTCAAAACCAAAATAATTAATAATTTTTAAAAAATTCTGCAGAAACAAACTKCAGAGCTGAAGAGGATTATCATTATTTTCATTTTTTTATTAATTCTAATTTCTTTYAAGGTCAAATCCTGGAGACCTTTTTTGAATATACAATGGTTTAGGTAGGGGGTTTTCTGTTTGTTTAGTTTTTTATTTTGATTTTGTTGGGGTCCTAAAATCTCAGATGATAACCATTCTACCTGGGAACTTGGAATAAAGCAGGATCAATTTTAATTGGGTGCTTACTGTATAGAGGGATGAAAAGAATGTGTCTCCAAACAGATAATATTCAAATGAATTTATTCTTCTCTTAAGTAAAGTTCCCTGTCTCATCTCTCACTTATAGGTGCAGCTGAACTGAAAAATCTGGTTCCTTGCTTCATTGGAAGAACCTGGTGAAACATAAAGTATTTCCTACAACATAAGCAAAACTAATGTTCAATGATTTGACCAAAATGTTTTTTTTGCCAGGGGATATTCTGTCATCCTTCTTGTCATGACATTGACTGTAAATGTACTTCTGATAGGTATGTGCTATGCACATGTTTTGCMAGTTAGGAAACGTGAACTCTACACTGAGAGGTGAATTGTTTTGTCAGCTGAATAAGCCTGGGAATAAAACAGAAGGCAAAAATCTACAAAGGAATTTAAGACTGTAACTCCTTTTTAGTCACCAAAGCTCACCATGAAACAGATGGAATAACACGAACCTAAATACCTATGTGGAGCTTGGCCTATATCTTGTTGATTCTCATCCAGTGGCTTGCCTTGATGGCTTCTCTTTCTCTAATCATCTCCATGTTTCCTGGAGTCCTGATTTATAGCTATTTCAAGATTTACCTGGTGACAGAAGAATGAAGGATGACAATTACCTCTGAGCCTTGAGACCACACCTTGGTAATTTGAAACACCTCACAGTTTATGTGAGAGGTCCATCAGTGTGCTGGCTTTGAAGGTGCCCTTGGACTGGTTCTTATGTGAACTTGGCTGCCTGTCAGCAGCATGACTGCACAGTTTTGGTGAGCTTGGAAAGCTCCTTTAAAGGCCTGMAAAAGGGAAAGGCCTCATTTCAGCACATTTTTACCAGTGACATCATCTTCTCTTAATATTTTTGTACATAAAGCATCGTGTCATTTACCAGGTCAAGAAACTCATTCCCAAAGAATGTATGCCTCTGACTCTGGGAGAGAGGGCTTTTAAACAAAAAAATTGTTGTTGCTGTTGCAGCTTTCCTGGGTGTCTCGTTCTTTAGCTGATCCACATTCTTTCCCATTGAGCAAGAAGATGATAAGGCACTCGTGTCTATTTATAACTTGCAGGAAGAAATGCTTGTTTAGTGATGCAGTGAAAGAAAAAGAGAGGAAAAGCGACCCAGTCCTAAACGCTTATCCTGAGTTCTGTTGTAGGTCATTCCTCTGTTGGCATCCCCACTCTTCTGTGGAGGGCAGCATGTGTGACTTGGCCTCTGAGAGAAAAACAAAACTACGTGTTCAGGGCTGCGCAAATGAGTCACCAGGAAACCATGTGTTCTTTTCATCTCCTCACAGTTYTGTGTTTGATTTTTGTTTCTCTGAGAATGACTGTTTATATGATGGCAGCGCTCAGAGGGCCTGATCCAAAGTGAAGCCTGCATTGCTAGGCCACGTGCAAATGCATGGTGAGAGACAAACTCTGCCCTTAAAAGTCAGGGATCAAAGAGACCATGGCAACTAAAAGATAGGACAGGAAAYGGATATGATGTGACTGTTCAAAAATGATGTCACAGTTCAATCACTTGCATACTGAGGTATCATTTACTTTTCATCTTCTCTCTCCCAACAGTTAAGAAATACACAGAAGGTAAAACAAAGCTCCAGAGGCAAGAATTTGACTTCAGTGAATAACTCTGGTCATTGCTTGCTCCTTCTTGTTCATTGCCTTGAGTTGGATGAGAAAAAAGGGATCTTGGATCTGTTTTCCACAGATGTCCTCACCACAGTAGTATGAAGATGGCAATTTTCCAGCCTTGTTGATTTTGTGGCTCTACTCTTTTACTTTCAGTTTAAATCTCCCACACTGAATATATATGACATCAGAAATTAATTGTCATCAGCTCAGGRGTAGCCTCCATACAGAACAGCTTTCTTTTTAGCATCCTGTTCAGATGGGATTATGTGAGAACTGACAAAGAATGTCCTCTTTGACAGGCCTGCAGTCTAGGGTGCTTGTTTTCTAATCTGGCAGGGAATGGATTGGTAATTTTATTCTTTTTCTAAGAGGTGAGAAAAGCTCTATATTAGGAAAGGAATATTAGGAACAGACAGCACAGCTTTACCAAATTTTCTATGAATGTGACATTTTTCTTTCTGTGAGGTCTGTATCCATATTGTTTCACTAAGCAGAAGAAACAGCAAGGCACCACTTCACCCACACAGGCTGTCTTCTTGGATGTCATTTTGTGGCATGTCTGGTGTGCTAATATCTCTTATGCAAAAGATTTGTGAAGTATGATTTGAATAAAATCCATCATTTTCTAAAAATATCGGAGTTCTATTGGAATCACTTCAAAGTGTATTGACTGTATCAGTTGGCTGACACCCTTTTTAAATACTTTTGTAGGATGATCTTTTAATTCCCCACAAATTTAGTCAAATTGTTCYCTTTGCTGTAAGAAGTTTTCATTCCGAGCTTTGATTAGGGAAAGCCAGTCTCTGCATGCACCTGCAAATATTCCAATTGGAAAAATTTGAAGAAATTATAGCCCCATTTATCTGATCGATTTATTAATTAGTTAATKACATTTGTTTATTATTATCCTGAAAATTAAGCTGAGTTATGTGTAGTACTGCTCTGGAAATTTACGCATGGAACAAATGGAACTTCCTGAATGCCTGACCCAACTGTAATGGAAAAGTGAGCTATAAATGCCCTGCCTAGTGCTTTTGCTAAAAATACCATTTTGAAGTGATGTCTGCATTGTGCCTAGGAGCCATAGTCCTACACTATCAACACAACACGGACAATACTGTTGGGCAAGGTCAAAAGGGGGCGACTGTTCCACAAATTTATGGTCACTTTGAAAGAAAGWGACAGACCTGGGCGAGACTGGTCAAAGGTATGTTGTTCAGTTTTGGCAGTGTCAACCCTATAGTAGCCTAAATTTTGTCAAGGTTTTCTCAGGCATCATGYCAAAAGAGAGATTTCGGTAGGGATTTGAAGAGGACCAGTAAAATTGCTTTGGTTCTGAGACCCTATTTGAAAATTTAAATATGTGGACTTATGTGACTGGAAAAGATGGAAGCCAGCTGACAAAATAGGTGAAGTGTGCAGGATGCAGGAACTCAATAGTGAGGAGCCTGAAGCTTTCCGCTAAAGTG